ATATATATATATATATATATATATATATATATATATATATATATATATATATATATATATATATATATATATATATATATATATATATATATATATTCAATTTTACTCTTATTCTTTCCACGTGTTGGCTCTTAGATTATACATGTTAATTTCCTGTAACGGAAATGTCAGCTTCAAATTAGATAATAAATTTGATTTTCTTGAGCTGATCTATTCATTTGTAGATGTGGATTTGAAAGCTACCGCTAAATTGTTTGCTGGACGTTTTGCATGTGGTTCATCGGTAACAGCAACTGATGAAATAGTGGTGCAAGGTGATGTAAAGGATGAAATATTAGAAATAATAGGGACGAAGTGGCCATATATTGATCCGAATTTAATTGAAGATCTTGGTGATCAAAAACGTTAAGTATGAGATAACTTTAAGTGGTTTGACCAACATATTACATTCATTTCCGTTATCAGTTTGATGATTTTCTCTTCGCGTTTCTGTATTGACGCTGATGCGCGATCTTATCGGTAATAATTTAATAAATGTTATGCACAGATTTGTAAATGTTCGCTTTTTTGAATTTCCTCAAGATTCTTGATCTGAAATGCATTCTTGTGTTCATTTGACTGCTATATTATTCGGTAAATTTTATGAATTTTATGCATTTAAAAGTTATTCCACATGGTGGCTTGTTGAAATATTCTATTCTTGCCCGTGTTTGTGAGATTATTTTCAAGTGTGTAATATCTATAATTTGGAGAAGTTACAATGAAAAACATATTCATGAATGGAAGGATTTCACTTGATTCTATACTGTAATTTAGGTCTGTATTTAGATCTGCATATGGGTGCTTTCGTCTTTATATATTACCAGTATGCCGTCAAAATGGAGTGGGTAGCTTAGTTTTCTAAACCAAGAAAGGCTTTCGATCCCAACAAAGCAAGTGCAAGGATTTTCCTTGCTGACTGTAGAAGTTTCTGGGCATTTTTTATTGTTTTTAAATCCGATATGTATGTAGTATTTCCTCTTGTCTGCATGTAAAATGTAAATGTGTTGTAACCGATTTTGATTTATTAAAATTTGAAAAACTTTAACTTTCGAAAGTTTGTTGTGTGTTTTCGGGATACTACGAATTCCGAGTATTTACCTCATTTTATTTATATATTTTCCGCTTTCATCACTTATTCTATGATCGAGAATTTAAATGTATGGTATTAGAGAAAGCTACTTGGTAGAAGTATGTTTGACTTTTTTTTTGCATATCCTTTCATAAGTGTTTTATTTGAAAGTGATTTTCTTTTTCACATCTAACAACAAGGTTGAACTTACGAAGTTAGGAATTATAAAGGATGGGAATAGTTCTATTTGTTAAAGGTTTGTTAGTTGAATTATTTAAATCATTTATGGTGGTGCAGAAACAATGGGCTTCTATTTGAAGATCGATCATTTAGATTATCTGATTAGGTTTTGACTTCTATTTGAAGATCGATCATTTAGGTTATCTGATTAGGTTTTACTCTTTTCTTGCATAAAATATGTAGAAGTTACCTTTTTTTATACATTTCCGGCTAGTTTAAAAAGAATGATTAGGTAGATAACACAGCTAGATTTAGTAGGTACGTTCGGGGAAAAAAAAGGATTGTAAACTTCCTAGGAGTTCTATTGTATAATTATATCGGATGTTTTCTGGTATTGGGAGTGCCAAAAGATACTCAATGCTAAATGATTCTTATCGTCTGTATGGCGCAGTAGTATTAGAAAATCCAATTTTTGATAAAATAACTTTGACTAGATACCTAACTGCACTTTAGTTAACTTCCTAAAACGTTGTTTACGGTCTGAGAGTTATTTCTTCTTTTTCTTTAATTCCAAGATCCATTTAGTATTCTTGGTTTACGCAGTTTTGTATTCTGTAAATGTATGAATCCGGAAAGGCTAACAGTCTAGTAGCCGACAGATTGTTTCTTTTAATCATGCCTAAACATATGTTCTAATTTTTATATAGTTTCTAACTGCAGGATTCATTCATTTCCTTTGTATAATTTGTTGGGTAATGCACAAGATCTGACCAGATATCCACTTCTATGGATAGTAGTAAAATGGTTCGTTTTTTTTTCTATTATCACGTTTCTCTAGATTAGAGTTTTCTTGAGAAACTAGCTTCATGTTAATTTCTGACTGAATATGTTTTCACTGCCATAAATCCTCAATTAGTTTAATTTTTCCATTTCTTAACTGTATTAAATTTTTAGATGCGCGAAGTTCTGCCAAGTTATTAGATTATCTCTCAACGTAATCTCCTTCTCGTACCGTTTTTCATGAAAACTGATTGAATAAGAGATTTGAAATTGAGTAGAAAAAACCTGTTCCAGCATATTTTATTAGCGTAGAATTTGCAGGAACTCTTTTTCGAAATATTGCGTCGTAAAACGCATATTTTTTGCGATGTGAAGGAAAATGCAACAGTTTTGGAAATTAAGAAAATAATTGAAGGTATCCTAAAGGTAAGCATAAGCTTACTCACTCTGGTTACTTAGAGTTACTTAGATTTCGAAATCTTTTGTGAAAGAAAATTTTAATAAATGGTTTTACCTGAACTTTCATTCGGTAATTATATTTTTAGGTACCAATCAGTAAACAAATTTTAAAAAACAAACCGAAGATGGTTTCTGGCATACAATTGAGGATCGTCAAACTCTTACCGAATGCGGTTATACTCCTCAGAATTCTCGTGCCCAAGCACCGGCGCCGCTAGCACTTGTTGTTGCTAACGGTAAGGATAGAATAATTTGAAAAAAGAATTTAATTTTTAGATTATTTCATATCAGATTTTTTATGATAATTTAATCCTCTATTACATGTAAGTATATTTTCGGAAAAAAGTTCTTTCTTGTCAAGCAAGCTGCGAAATCACCAAACTTATGATGCTTCAAATTTTTAGACGAATATTACACTGCTTGTTTAGGTTTATTAGAGGCTCTTATTGGAATTATGGCGACTCTAGGTCTTTCGTGTTAATGAATAATTTGCTGATAAAACAATGAACTGAAGTGTTTTGTTTTAAAAACTAGAGAAAGGCGAAGTAGAAGGTCAATTTCGCTTAACTAACTGACTTCAGTCCTTTTTTCTTTGTTTGTTTTTGGTAGTGACCGTGCCATTTGAAGAATTGTGATAATACTTTAGGAATCAGAAATCAGGAACCTCATTGAGTGTTCGCAAATATTCTAATTTGATATTTCCGATGGGTGAATTGGACGCTTCAGCAAATGACACATATTTTTCTTTTTCGAACTTATCATAGTGATTTTACTGATACTGATTTTGATTTTAGAGGAAGAGGACGTTATCATTGAGCCGCTATCAATTCCACCACCTGTACCAGATGCAATGAGGCCTGAACAAGCCGCTACGAATGAACAATGAGCCTGTATCTTTTATAACAGATATTTTTCCATGTAAACTACAATTATGTTTTTTTATGTCTGTCATTGCCGTCTGTTTGGCTTCCAAAAGTTTATGTCAAATAAATATTTTTATCGCTTCAACGATTTTTTCTTTTTTCTTTTTTTCTTGTTACAATGTTTCCTCCATTAATAAATACTTGGGAATGTGCAAATATTATCGGAAAAGAAGTATTACTGCCTTTATAAATCTATCCCACTTTTTATTCCGTTCAGAAATCTACATTATACGTTATTGATCAACGGAAAAGATAGGGAATAGCATTCGGAAGAGGAGAAGACAAGAAGTGATTTGGTCTGTTTATGGACGGAATTTTTTCAAAAAGAAAGCTGATTTCCCGAATTTTAGTCTTTTTCTTTTCCTCTTTTTGTTGTTTAGCTAGTTTCTTGAGTTCCTTCATGTTGATCTTATGAGTGATAGATTATTTAGCTCCTGCGGTTATGAACTTAAACGGTACGTAACGTGTATTTTTGATCAATTAAAATTTATTTTCTTTTCTCAGCTAGATGAGTTTTTGTTTATCAAGCGCAATTACTCATGTCGCTTTTTGATTACTTATATGCTTTGAAAAGAAATTGATGCTATATCTCTTTTGTTGATAGTACTTCACATTTCAACGTTCCTTATAAACTCAAGGGATTTCATAAGCTTCATTATGAGTTTACAGTTATCATATTGAAACGAAAAGATGATCAAAGGGAAACGAAAATTTCGGGAAGCATTTGGAATTGATGAGAATATCTCTTCGAATTACTTCCAGCAGCATTTCGAGGAAACTTTAAATCCAACTATTGCGACTACGTTATCCGCATCAACTAGTGAACCGAAGCGTATTGTTCTGGTTTGTTTTTGTATATAATTTATTGCTTAAAATTTAGGATTAATTTAATGAGGATTTGTAAATCATCATATATGTGGTGTATTTTTTACAGGAGGATCTTGGAATGGGTTTATTCCAGCAGCGTTATTTTATGCTGGATGATAATATTTTAAAACAAGAGGGAATTGGAAATTTTGGTTTTAATTTGAAATTATTGAAAAATTTCGAAATTCTTAATGGAAATCCGATGAGCAGCGCGCAACTATCATTGTATACTATTATCGGCAGATATATTGATCTTTGTGCAACAGGATTAAAAATCGATTGCACAGTACTGCTTCTGCATTACTTTTAATAATTATCATTCCCTCAAGTCAATATATATGCAAGATAAATTGGAAGGAAATTTCCTGCTTAATTTTCATCTTTTGGACATAAAGTTTGAATCGTAATTTTAAATTATAAATTTGAGAACAATTTAGCCGTTGTATTGTTTGCATGCAATCAATCATATTACGCAAACACGAAATACTATAATAAAGAATAAGCAGTTTCTGCAAGAGCGTCGCGAAAAGGTGATTTCTTTTTTGTTTTCCGATTAAATTATTATTTTCAATTAGTCATTTGCGAACCATTCATAATTTTTATTCTACTATAGTGACAGATAAGATAATCTTCGTTCATTTCATCGAACAAGCATGAGGTAGTAATATATGTTTTTGATCTGATCTCATGCACTTGCACCACTTGCAGAATCTCACTATAACTGCTTTAACTACTTCTTTGAAATTGAGTTAAGAGAGAGAAATGAGCACTTATCCACGTTGTTTTATATTTTCACCATATATTCTGTCAGATTTGTTTCTCACCTAACCATGTTTTGGTGGGATATTTTTAATTAACCACTGTTTTTCGAAGTTTGAATTTCAAGTTCAGGGGACGCTCACCGAAGATGATATTGAAATGACACGTGATCAGGGATTATCTCGGCCCAAAGTGTTGATTATTTGTCCGATGAAAAAGGATGTCTTTCCAATTATTGAAAACTTCCGGATGCTGATATTTGGTAATTCAGACAAACCGTTTATTTCTAATTATCGGCGTTTCAAAACGGAATTTGGTGATACAGGATTCAAAATATCGGAAAAAAGAAAGGTAAAGCTTTCAAAGTATCTCCACCAGTTTCGTGTCTTTGCCCGTATTTTAATTCTGGCAAAATTTTTCTTATTCACGAATGTGTTTTGTTTTGCTCCATTCTTTTAATATGCCTATTATTTAATAGCTGGAAGGTCTTCAGGTCCCTGCTGATTACCGGAAACTTATGAGTGGAAATATTGATGATTGCTTCCGGATTGGTGTTGCACTTGCAAAAAAAAGTTTGAAACTTTACACGGCGTTTGATGAATCGGATATTTTAATCGCTTCACCACTGGGTTTACGGATGATTGTAGGTGAAGGTGGTGAAAATAACGCGGAACGAGAAACGGACTTCTTAGCCTCTATAGAAGTGTTAATCATTGATAAGGTAAATTCTTTTTTTTTTTTCTTAAATGTGAGAATCTCCACATCAGTGAAACATCAAGTGTTGAATAATTCCATATTTTCTTGCTTGAAATTAATGTCATTTAAAGAAAGATCGTCAAAAAAATTTAGGCTGACATATTACTAATGCAAAATTGGGAGCATTTATTGAATGTTGTCAGCAGTTTACATATACAACCGAAGAAACTCACAGTTGATATATCACGAGTTCGACGTTGGAGCCTTGAGCAATACTCCAAATTTTACAGGTTTGCTGTTTTTTTGAGATTTTTGAAAATATTTTTATGTGTGTCGAATAAAATTTATCAAAATAAGGAATAATTTATATTGTTAGACAAACGGTGCTGATATCAGAAGAACGTCGTGCGGAATGTGATGCATTATTTGCTCTTTATTGCGGTAATTTTGCTGGATTTGTCAAGTTACTTACACCAAGCAAAGGATTGCTAGATAATGTTTTTTTTCCTTTTATTTGCTCTTTATTTTTTCTTTTTTTGATCAGAAATAAACTAAAACTTGAAGGATTATTGTAAACTTGAGAAATGATGAAATCAATTTCATCATTCGCTTGAATGATGAAATTGATTTCATCATTTCTCAAGTCAGCTTACAGAGTGTAACTTTTATCTCCTTAATTTCTTTCCCTCGATTTGATATCTAATTTGATTCCACTTTCTAATCACCAGCATTCCGTCCATCGGCATATGTATCAGTTAGGGTATAAAAAAGTGCTCTTCCCTTTAAAGGAAAGTTTCTTGTATCACAGATGTGAAATAAAGCATAAAATCCCAAATTAGTTCTAATTTTTTATTATACGATAATTGACACTGTTATCAAAAATTTTGGTGATTTTAGATAGAAATTCCGTACTGCCAAGAACTGCAACGGATCGATGTTGACATGGCAGAAAATCAATCTGATATCCGATTTAAATTTTTCAAGGTATTTTGTTCATAATTAATAAACGTGTGAACTTTTAGAAATTAATGGATTGGTCGATTTTTTATGAAGGGGAATTCAATCTTTGTTTTACTAAAAGGTATATGGATACACATATGCATCGATATACAAATATGATAGGAACAGATGGCGAAAATTGATACCATCTTCAAAATAGATACTAATGACCTTTCAGGAAAAGATTCTGCCGAAGTGTGAATTAGGTACAGTTATCTTTATCCCGTCATATTTTGACTTCGTGAGGATTCGGAATTATCTGAAAAATGAAAACGAAAGTTTTGTCCAACTTCATGAGTATGCAAAGGAAGGGAAGGTCAGTTTATATTATGTTTTCTGCTCGTTTCTTTTTCAGAAGGAATAAATTATCAGACAGCAGGAAAAAGCGTATGATTACCTTCATTTGTCTTTACTATATTCTGAGCTGCTGTTGCCTTCGCTTCTGAAGCTATTGTAAGATCATTTTCGGCCCGCTGTTATTAAACAGTTTAGTTGGTGCTTCATTCATATGAGAGGAACTTGGTTTTTCCTTGAAGAGTTGGTTTGTCGATGGGGAAATTACATTTTTTAAAATACCATCGGAATCTGCAGGTAGCAAAAGCGCGGGCGTTATTCTACATGAAGGAAAAGAAATTTATGCTTATAACAGAACGTTTTTATTTTTATCGACGTTACAGCATTAAGGTATTCTTTGACTTCTTTGACTTTTAACTCTTTGATTCTTTGACTTCTTCACTTTTCTCTAACTTCTTTATTTCGGAAGAAAGAGAATGAGATGTGAATAATTCCTCCATGGAAATGTCTCTAGCAGCCACTTTTAGGTTCAGCCATTTCGTTGAGACTAAATGCTTTCCTGATTTCCAATTCTTACATCTTTAAAGTGCTTTCAGATCTCTTCTAATTTTTTCCTCTTTTTTTCAGGGTATCAAGTCGCTCACTTTTTATCAACCTCCGGCGCAATCCAAATTTTACCACGAAATGATTAACCGGACGGACTGCAATTATGCTTATGTTCGTGTGCTATATACAAAGTTTGATTTTCTTCGTATGGCTCATATATTCGGTGATAATTGCATACGGCAGATAATGTCTTCCACAAAAACAACGCATGTTTTGGTAAGCCGATAAAGACTAAGTGTTGAAATAAAACTTCAGTTTAATATGTCCAACTCTAATCAGACCTAACATCTTATTCTATACTCGAATAGGCAGTAATATATTAATTTGGATAGAGATAAAAATGGAGGTTAAACCACTGTTTCATCCCAACAAATGTGCGGAATAATTAGCACATGGTAATCAAATTAAGATTTAACCGAAATGATGATAAATACGGATAAATAAAGTGAAATTGTTGGGAATGATAAATGAAACCCTCCTTTTCAAGCATCGAAATCTAAAGATAGTGACATAATATTCAGACGAACTCTACGTTAATGGCAGAAATGAACGAAACTAAGAAAGCTTTAAAAATAGTATCACAGAAAACACATAACTGCGAAAACCGGAATGAAATGTCATGCTGAAAATGATGAAATAACTAGGAATGCTAATCAATATATGGTGACGTGAAAAAATTTGCCAGAATGGGTTAATGGACTTTCCTGTTCTAGAAACTTCATTTATCTTGGTCCTTTGTTTTTGATACAAAGAACTATTAAAATTCTCTAAATGAAGCTTCAGTTGGTGGATGAGCGCTCGTCAACAAATCTGCTTGCATTCTTTACCAGTTTTCTGCAATACTGCAAGTATCGAGTCAGCGGATAGTGTAGTCGTAACAATGACACGCTGGGTTTCTAGATTAATCTGTACATCCGATATATCAGCTGCAATAAAATGCAGGAAATTGAGAACAAAGAAAAAGGCAATTTTAGAAAAGAAACACTTGTTGACCCAAAATGAGACCATCAGTTTTCGATATTCATAATTTCGATGATATTGATCCGTCTAAAAGTAGGCTTATTGATGAGGTATTTCGGCCAAGTAGTAAAGTAGAAGCGAATAAAATAATACTGAAGTATTCAAATCTCCTTCAAATTTGAAAAGTTCCATCAGTGAAGAATGAATGATATACCTCCTAATTTCGACAATACTTTCCTCACTGCATTTGCGCACCCATCACAGGTCATGCTCAATTCAAATGTATATGTCTGAAATTCAGATGAAACGCAACAAGTTAACCTGAGAAATAGTTTAATACCGATAATATAACCTGTAGCATCGAATCATCCTTGCTCAATATCTGTAGTGAAGGAAGATTCAAAAAGCTGGATTTCCCAATGTGTGTCAACAAGTGCTTCATTCACGACAAACTTGTTTGGAATAGCACCTCACATGGTTCAAATCAACTCAAATCAAATGCCAAATGTTTCGGGATTTTGAATCCGGCTTATCCGGTGAAATATGGACTCTTAAGCTTTTACTAGAATAAAACGCAAAATCTCACGTTAGACATATAAGTAGTATTCTTCAAGTTGAAATATAAGTAACACCAAGCCAATACTGAAAAACCAAAGTACAGTGTATGATTAAAAGTATTTCAGAATAAAATTTTTCCCACATCTGCATAAAGTTTCCCACATCTTAAGCGGACTGCTCCGTTCAATTCTGAATAACTTCAATCGATCAGACAAAACTGTCGCAACAGACAAATTTAAATAAAGTTTAAAATAATCTGACAGAAAGAAGTTTAAAAGCTAAGATCAAGTACCAGAACCAATCAATAAATAGATGGTCAGGATTTGACAAACGATTATAGATGAAAATCAAAGGGCAAAAGGCAAAAGTTCAATGTCCAAGAATCACATAGATGTGTGGAACATTTACGATTTTTATTTGTGGATCGTTGAGTTGAATTAAGAAAGACCAAAATCCTGAACGGCACAGCAATTTTAGGAAGAAAAATAATATTTAGATTTTAACTCATAATGCTTAATTTGATTACTGCAGCCTTGATATGTGCCCCTAAAGACCTATGAGACTAATTAAGCAACTGAACATTTAAATATTGGCATCAAGATTTCACAATATAATATCTCCTAACAAAACGGTTCTCCGGAAAATGGGAGAAACTCTTGGAAAGTATGATAACTTTCCGGAAAACGTATTTTACGGACACCAAACACCACATCAGCAGCATCATACAATCTAATGTATGTATGCCCCACAAGGTACTTCCTTCATTTCATGTTTCACAGCATGCAATAGTCATGCGACAATTTACATCTGGGTTTCCCGCCGTCCACTTTTCATAGCCTCGCAGCTGCCCGGTGTTCGGTTTCCCGGATGGCTTCAGATTCTATCCTCATTTGGAGATTCTTGGGACATATGGGGTCTGGTGAGCTTCTGATTGTTAAATGGATTCATTAATCAGTTTTTCCATCATTTTACTTTTTTGTCGGTCTTGGAAATGGTAAAATTTGATAGCACTAATCGGTTTCGTCAGTCATCAGTACGCTTTCTAGACACCCTTGTTTCATTCGCTGTGAACCGTCCAACCGTTTGAAAGTGTTATGTCTGGTGAAACTGGCGGACATACTATACAGCAGTTAGCTTCTAATCAATCATCAACTACCGCAACACTTCCCCAATATTCGGTTCCGGCTGCGCAAGTATCGGGAGCATCAAAATACACCCAGTTATTGAGTGTTCGTTGCTTGTCATTTATTAAATTTCTAAATCCCAAATTTGTGATTGCGACTATTTCTTTCTTGACGAACTATTCGGAATTGAAAAAATTATATTATTGCCATTTAAAATAAACAAGTTTATTCCATTCCCCTCCTATTTGTGACTTATGAGGAACTGAAGTAGACTGTGAAACCACTAGTTGTTTTCATTTACTATCGACTTTCGCCTGGTATATTGAATTACCTAAATTTCACATATTTTTCAGGTGATTGAAGAACTGGGAAAAGATATCCGACCATCGTATACAAACAATAAAATTTGTTCGGAACGTTTGAAGCGAAATATCATCCGTGCTCGAATCCTTGTACGAGAATGTCTAATAGAGACTGATCGATGCGCTCGACAGCAATAATTTGTTACAAGTTTTGGGATTATACCAACCCTTAAACTAAATCTTTAGATTTCGAAATTTTGGTATCAATATGCAGTCCCGCTCACTCGTCCTTCATGAAAAACCCGCTGCTCTGGAATTCACAGAGAAGAAATCACTGAAATGTATCGTTGCAACTTATCAGCTACATGATGATAATACTCATTCCGGTAGCATATATAAATTGCACGGAAACAAAGTGGATAAGCTAATCGTTTTACCTGGAGGAATTTTTCGTTTTGCTGTACAACCCGATGGACACATCATTTCTACTTTGACAACTGGATCAATTGGTGTGGTCAGCAGTGATTTAGACGCTGTGCATGTTCTACCAGTGACTGAAAAGGGATTTCTACTTGCGCTTGCAATCTGCGGAAGTTCTGCGCTCTGCTCCGATGTTAGTGGAACAGTGCATGTTATCAATTTAGAAACGGGTATTTTTTCCAATATTAAAGCTTGAGTTTTGAAGTTTTGGGAATTGAAATAGCATTTTCCAAATTTAATTAAATCTGAAATCTTCTATTGTCACTGGATATCTGTGCTTATTTATCAAGCGTGAATTATTTCTTAAGAATAGAAATAAGTCAATGCCGTATGTAAAAATATTTTAAAATATCACTGTATTGGGTTTCATCTTCAACCATAAAAGTGTATATTGGAACAGTAAACATTTAATGGCAAGGCATAACAATATTTCAGTATACCCAATAGAAAATAGTAAGAGCACAAAACGAAAAAGTTTCCAACGTTGAAGTGCTAGTTTCTTCAGGAAGATATATTCTATGAATCGTAAGTTAACACATAACAAGAAGTACTTTACTAAGATCAGTTATTCAGATTGCCATAACTAATTCAAGCTATGTAGATCGTCGACTTGGATTTTTGGCTAGATTTCTGTTAGGGATTAACTGGCACAGTGATTAATTAATACAAATAATTTATCTATTTGCATACTGTTCCTTACAGTCTCCAAGCAAGGATAGTCGAGTGGTATTAGCACCTCTCCATTTATCTTCAAGTTTTCTATGTCTTAAATTTTTTCTGTATCCTCCATTTTCAGGAAACATTTCTTCCTCCTTTCTGGGACATACTTCGCCATATACCGATGAACCGTGTGAGGTTTGGACAACGCTCTGGCTCGACACCAATTGCATCCTATCGGGTGGCGAAGATAATTTACTAAAACTATGGGATTTGCGGTCAGATACAAAACAACCAATCAGTGTTAACAAGACACATCAGTGCGGTGTCATTTCTCTTCATACGGAAAATTCGAAGTACATTATAAGTGGTTCTTATGATGATCACCTACGTCGTATCGATCTCAGAAATTTCGCTCAATACATTCTTGACAAAAAGGTCTATTTTCCAAATTGATTTCTGTTTTCGACATTTTTAAACGTAATATGAATTCACAGTTTTGTCATAAAGATAGCTAAAAGAGTGAGATGTAGCTGGTAGAAGGTTATGTCTTGTAATTTAGAATTTTATGTGACCCTCAAATTGGACTAGAAATTAAAACTTACTTTTTAAAATTCTTTTAGTTAACTGCACCCAAAAAATATTACTTAAAGAAAATTTGGATCTCGAATTGTACGATTCATCGAGTTGTAGAATTATTCTGTCGATTTATTTCAGTTTAAAGTCTTAAACAGAGGAAAACAAATACTTAGAAATAAAATTAAAATTAATAGTATATGACTAACGGATAAAAAGTACCACTTCACTTTTTTAGATGAATGGTAGTGTATGGAGCATACGTATTGCTGATGAAAATTCCTATATTGTCTCTTGCATGTACGGTGGTTGGACAATGATCAAGAAAAAGAATTTTGATATTCTTCAGGAAAACAAAGAACTAGGCGAGAAATTATTATACGATGCGGATTTCTCACCACAAGCTTCCGTCATCGCTTCCTGCACTTTCAATAATTATACCGTAAATTTCGAAACGATATAAATGTTGATTACTGTGAAAGCTCATAGTTTGGGTAATTTATAAATTATACAGGATCTGATTCCACTATCATCCTGTTTGGTTACATGTATAAAATCAAGATCATATTAGCCTTTCTTTTTCAGCATTTCATTTTGCATGGTAGTAGAAAAAACTTACAACCTTAGCCCTTCTACATAAATTAAACAACAATGGAAGCAGTTGCAGCTGGACTTGGTAGTGTAAGAGCCGCATTATGTGGACTGCATGGGAAAACCTGAAATTCAGTCGGATTATATGAAAATTCAGTGTATCCATTGGAAATTTGATGGTTCAAAATAACACTAACCTTGATATCCAAATCCCATACCATAGTTTCTATGTTAACATTTGTGGGTGCTTGCCAAAGACCTTCTTCCACTTCTTCATTAAAATCATTACATGTCACGAATTCGAAATGGAGGCGCCATTTCAAATGTACTAAAAAATATACCAAAGCGGACAATAGACTATGGAAAAAGTATCACAATAAAAGAATAAATCAAAATTTCCACAAACCGTATAAACAGATGAGTGTATATGACTTGCGTAAACAAACAGACTCTAATACGAAGAACCAAAATATAACTCAGGAGATAGTTTTCATCCCTACTAATTTTCACTTCTCAACTTTAATTTTACCAATTATAAGTATGGACCAATTACAAGTATGGAACTTATATAAATGAGAAGTGCTGATATGAAGACAGCTTTGCATACCAAGTAGCAGTTGATAGATACACTTTGAACGAAAATTTCAAATTTCAAAATCCTCAATCGTTCCTTCAAAACTTGCCCGTATCGGTATAGAAAGTGGATGTTGCAGAGAGTGGTATATGCAATCGTATTGTTGCTTCGGTCCAATATGCACAAACAGTGTGCTCAGTCATATGGGTGGTTACAAATGTATGTGAACGCCACTCATCGTTTACCAAGTTTTCAACTGATTGTAAACTGACAACAAACTGAAATTAATTTGAACAAATAACAAACTGAGGTGTGTATATACACAATCATGTCAGATATGTCAATTCTGATTTGTTAGTTCAGGATAAGTTAATTAACCTCCTCTACATTTATGAGTAATGTTCCTCTCGAATCAATGAGGAAAACACTTGGAAGAACAATGAATCAAAAAAGTAATGAGATGATATGATCGCCTGTTTGAAGCCTCACTAATTGTCTTGCTAACAATATTCCATTTTTTCATTTGTAATTAATAAGTTGTGCGCATGATCACACTCCTCAATTTCAGTGTGACATCAAACTCAAAAACTCACCCTGGAATTTTTAAATAATTAGAAAAGATAACTATATTAAACGTATTTGTAATATTTTCTCTGACAGAATGTAAAGCTACAAACCTGAAGGCATCGTACAGTACAACTATCGAAATTGAACCTTCCAATGACATCTTCTCCTAGTTTGTACGCTTTTTTATTAAGTGAAAAACTGGCAACTCGACCGGATGCATTTGTTATATTGTAACTGTAAGATCCATGAGGTGCTGTTAGACAATCGGCTGCTTCCACAGCCAAATCAACAATTGATGGTCTGCAAGGAAGAATTATTTGAAAAGATCAAATTGCAACTAATTTAAGCAAAAAAAGAAACCGAATTACTTGTAATTAAATGTGCAGGGATTTTCAATGAAAAATGTTTCGAGCATGAAAACCTTGCAAATAATCCATCTCATAGTTTAAAAAAAAAAAAAAAAACAAGCATACCACTCAATCCTAAGTTAATTTAACAAGATAGTTACCCAACACTGTGATTGCTGATGAAAGGGTTCACAAGCGTCGGTGAAGACGGTAACGTTAATCCAAGGTCAGACTGTATGATTCGCAGTGGAACATGTATCAGTTTGATCGGTGATTTAACATGTTGCACGCCAAGTGTCAATTTATAAACATAACGCACAAGATGTCCTCTAAAAGCACATAAACATTCATATGATAGAGAGTAAGTTTACGAAAAATCTATTCTTTATGTGAACTAAGGCAAAGTAGTATATATTGTAGAAGATATCGTAGAAAAAAGTACTTTTAGGGAGTAAATAAGAGAAGCTTGTAAAAAAAAAAAAACAACGATGTCAGAACAAACTTGAATGATGGCGGTATGGAATCCAATGGTAATTGCTGCGTACATTCAAAACTACGACTTTCACCAACATTTAGTACCAGTTCACAAAACAAAATAACCGGTCGGCAAGAAAATACAGTAAAAGCGGATCGTGACATTGCGGTTGTCCCGATCGTTTGCGATTTTTCTTCCGTTGAACTTTTTCTTGATGAGGGAACATCAGCTTTATTGGCTCTGACAATCCGTTCACACTGCACATGAACGCTTCCCCACGCCAAAGATTCCTCATCATTACCAATATTTTGCATTATTACCTAGAACAACGACTTGGTATTAAGAGTTACACTTAAAAGAAAGTAATTTAGAGAAAATCGTAATAAATTCCGAGGACTTTTTACAAGAAAAAGTCCGGAAAATCAGAAAAAGCTTCAGAAAATCAGTTTACTAGAAAGAAAACTGTTGCTTAAAAATGAATCCTAATAAATATTAACCAAATGTTTTTATTATTTTACCTATTATTTAAGCTGACACCTGTAGGTCTAACCAAGTCTAAATAATAGGAGAAATGATAAAATATTTGCTTCACATGAATATTCGCTCATTTAGCCTAATATGGTCAGGACTAAAAAAAAACTGTTGTAATAGTTCCCAACTGTTCAAGTTAGAAGGGAGGAACTCAAAATGGATAATGATTATTTGAAGTTTTCGAGATGATTAGTCATGATAATGAACTGAACAGCAAAATCTAAGAAAAAAATTTAAAAAAGAAAAATTTGAAAAAAAAAATTTTAAGCTAATTCAATGTTTTGTTGTAGATCTAACATTAACTCGATTCTTTCATTTACACCAATAATAGATCACATATTAAAGAAACATAATGTAGCAGTGTAAATAAAGGAATTATTTTTATTGCAATCAGTAAAGAAATACGTAAAAAAAACCTTGCATTGTATAGCTTCCCCAGCAAGATACACCGCGGATTCACGATCCAATTTTGCTACTATTTTAATCGGCATGTTTTAATAACAAACCTGTAATAAAATGAAAATATCACTGAGCGCACTTGTATAACTTGCGAACAATAATTATTATCTCGCAAACAAAAAGAAAAAAAAAAAGAAAACTGAAATGAGATTTCTCATAAATAAATCACTTTAATTCCTTCTAGCTCGAATTATCTAACTTTAGATTGACCAATTCATTCAATACGAAAACGTAGTGCTATAAACACTTACCTTAAACACAATGCTGACTTTTCGAGTGAATCAGGTAGGCAACCTATGGAACTTGTAAATCATATAATCATTCTTATTCCTTTTCTTCCTCTTTTATTCATCATACTGCAAATACATCACCTATTATATTTCAGAATTTCTTTTCCTAAGGAATCACTAATTTCAGAATCTTGAAAAATCAATTTTATCCCAAATTCGAATGACTTTCCTCAACTACTAAAATAATTCAAAATCCGCTTTTAGCACTATCTTATTATTAATTATTAAGCTATATCTGTGACAAAAATCTATTTGTGTTTTTATCTGGAAAAAAAATGACAAAATAAAAAATTGCATAAATTAAAATTAAAGTATAAATTTGTACGACGAAGAAAACTTCATAATGTATATTGAATTATGGAAAATAATGAACCACAATTACAAATGTTTATCTGGTAAATAATAAATATATGATTTAAATGCAATTTAATAAAAGACTTCATATCAATTCAACAGTGATATCAAAATAGGGTATTACTCTTCACTGACATTAAAATGTGAGCATATTAATTTAAAAGAATATTCCTACATAGAAAAGAATTTGCCTGAAGCATGAACAATAATTAGAAGACGAATTAAATCAATCAAAAAACAGCCATTACGAGATTCCTTCAAAAAGCTAATGTTCGTTTACATCTAACATATGTGCAGATGTGCCATCAACATGAGATCATCATCATTCATTTTCGATAATAAAGCATAAAAATATTTTCAGTAGATTAAATACTTCACAAACAATAATTACAAGAGAGACATTTCAAAGGTTATATTAATTAACTTGTTCGGAAAATTGACAATTTAATTAGTCCAGGAAACCGATAAACAATATACTGAAATTTCTTTTCAAAACTCTGTCCTAAACCAGAAATCTGTGGATAAATAATTTACAAAAACAATAATTCAAACTATATGTTCCGATATATTATGAAGCAAATCATTTAGTTAAGCTTGAACAATTTCAAATTCAATTCAATCTAATATTCGAGAAACACATTAACAAACACGTCTAACGGGATGCTAATGTGAGAAAGGCAAGAAATGTTGTACCATAATCAGCAAATGTAAAGCATTTGATATCCTGGGAAAGTTATACTTTCAGGAAAGAATCAGCTCATAGTAAATGAAAAGATAAAACAGTATCGATTGTATATTTCATTGCATTAAATGCATAATAGAGCTAAAGTTAGATAAATTACGAATCAACCAGAAAGAGATCATTAACGTAAAACACATGACTGACATGTACATTCAGTTACTAAATGCCTAAAATATGCCATGAGTCGGACAGCATCTTCGTAAGCATCGCCAGCTAAAAAAAAAAAAAAATGACATCACCATTATTATTTTTTAGAAAAATTCAGGAAATTTCTCAATTATATAAGTTCTGCTATTAAAGTGCATGCAGCAGAACAACTGATAATAAAACAACAATTCTGAAAAATTTAACATGAATATTTTAAAATGAAATGTTAATTACTACCTTCCAAACTTCAACGAATCAAAAACCCTTGCACCATTACTAAAGATTTTTAAAAATTGGAAATTTCCTGGGAAAAAATCCTAAAAAAATTTCGAAGATTTTCTCCAAAAGTTTTGAAATCTTACAAAAAGTCATATAATAAAATCAAAAAGCATACTTCCAGTTGATTCAGCAAATGTAGCTGATGGTGGTAAAGCATTTGCTGTTAAAAGAGAAGTAGATGATAACCGATTCGAGCCTATAGCAACCGAAGTTTCGGAAAGAGAAACAGAGCTCGAACGTGAATCAACAGCTGGATTTATTTGTTTCGTCGACTGCATATTATTATTCTGGGTCAAATTAGTCGTTGCCCATGTCGTAGTTTGCTAAAATCATGATAAATACATAGTAAAATACTAAAAATCAAACTTAACTATCTGGAGTAACTATTACAGCATCTCGTTAAGTTGTTAAGCAACTAGCTAATAACTCGATTAATTAATCGATTGGTACTAACTCGTTCAGAAGAAAATCATATGAACCAAATGTATATTTACCAGGCCATTAGGATGTAAATCATTGTTTGCAACATGCTTCGCCACAATATTTACTGTTGGTGTAGAGTTTTGCGATGTCTTTTTTATAACAGTTGCAGTAACCTGTCTGAAATTTCAAAACTAAAACTTTAAAACCTTCAAGAAATCCAATAGAAACATTGGATTTTGTACTGGCAAAAATTGGATAGTGCAATGAATGTATTTTGAGTGCGATATGCTTCCCAAAGTTTGATATAACCTAAAATATTGGTATTTCATAGAATTTCTTTAAGAAATTTTACGCATTTACTTGTTATTTGATGATTCAATAGGTTTTTGTTGCCGTGATGAAAAGCTCTCAAATGTAACATTTTTGTTACAAACAGCAATTGCCCTCCAACGACAATTATTTTGCTTCTGCTCAATTGCCTTATATCTTATTTGTACGCCAGTTTTAAATGCGCTACGAATATCCTGAAAACGAAGTGCATCATCTCATTTAGTAGGATAATTATTGACAAATCTTCGTAAAACCACTAAACAAATCTATGTAATTCTATTCAAAAAATTAATACTACTTTCTTTAGGAAAAAACCATAAATATTTAATAAAATGAAAGATGATTTACTTGTGTTTCAGGGCGAACAACACTTGCGGTAAAATAAACAGTATTACCATCATTTGTCTAAATGAAATTTAATGAAGTACATTTCTCACAAATACATTTTCTGGTGTTGGAAAGGTTTTAAGAACTGCAAAAAGAAGGCAAATCATATGCTCAGGTTGTAATAAAGAAAAAATTTCGAAATATTGCGACATTTAATGAAAAAAAAAAACAAAAACAATCACAATATGCTTAATTCCCTTAATCTGTTACAGGTATTGGAAATAAATGCTTCATTACCATATGTTAGGCAAAAGCACAGTTCTGAGAGGAAGAAATTTAATAATTCGTTCGGATAAAGTAATTGATTATAAACAGATAACCCACACAGACGAAGTGAAAACAAGACAAGTACATGTTTCTATTTATCCAAAGATTTATTAGAACGTACCGTAATAAAACCATATTGACCCTGATGTTCATCTACTTTGAAAAATATTCCAATACCTTCCGACATAACAGCTTTTGATTCAAATTTGACACTTTTCGCTAGAGCTTTAAAGCGAACACCAAAATTGCAATGAGGAGGTTCCTTTAAAGATATGAAACGTAACATAAGTTGAAATAATTTCAAAGCTCTGATTTAATTACAGAAAAAGAAGCAAGTAAAGTTACGAAAAAATAATGACCCAAATAAGGTGGAACAACGGTTGGACAATGAAGTTTGATGGAATATTTCTTCTTCACGACTATATGGATAGTACATTTTTTTAGAAAATTCAAATAACAACAACAGATTGCATGGGTAACATAATTTGTCCATTTCATCAACAACTAACAAATATCACATATTCCGCTTGTTGATGTCTGACAAGAAAAACATGATAATTTCATCCGAATTTTAAAAGATGAAAAGAAAGTGAAAATGAAATAGAATTGAAAACAGATGATTACCATCTAAAGATTCAAATTTCATTTATAATAAAAGGTTAGTATTCAATAGAATACGAATAATCCACATGTCGTAATTTTGGTCATTCAGACGATTAATCGTCAAGACTTCACTTAAAGTGATGTGCGTTTTGTTTATTGCTGGATAATGCTAAGTGTCACTGTAGCTGATGATGGCAGAAGATAAGGAGCGATAACTTCTCTCAGTGTCTTAGCAAGATTACAGGGTAGAGGAACAAATTATTAGCTGTAAAAATGATATGGAAACCAGGAACAAAACAATGTCATTCTATGGGAAAATTTAAACTTGGTAAAATGAAAATTTCATAAAAACTTAAATGGAACTGAAATATCGACCACTAATTGTAGGACATTAGAACAAAATTTACCGTTTGAAGGAAAAAAAAGATTCTAGCAATAATAACTTACGGCTTCATATGATTTCGCTTTGAAAGTAACCCAATCCTGCAAATCATAGCTATTTGCAAGCCATGAATCCTTAAATGCAACAATTTTACCATCCAAACCACCTTTCGACAAATGAATGAATTCATCGCCAACATATACAACACGCGCTCGACCCGTTAGTATAGTACTCATAGCGTTAGAGAGATCTAAAGAAAAAAAAGGAACATTGTTTAAAAAGCTTGGTAAAATACCTTTGGATAACTGTCGAAAAATTATTTTCAAAATCTAAACTTCAATAAATAAGAAATTCAAATATCACTTTCCAAGAAAGTGACATATTAGGCTATTTAACCTCGATCATTTTACATACCAAAACAGAGTGACTGACTGATAGAATTGATGGGTTTTTTGATATCAAAAACCTCACTACCTATTCATTCATAATTATTAATCGACTGAATTATTAATTGCTTGTTTTGGTTTGCTGCTATTCATTTCAACTATGTATTTTGATTGAAGCAACAAAAAAATTGAGAAAGAAGTATGCTGAATAATGAAACATATTTATTATTCGCTTCCATAACTTAGTACAATTAAACAGAGTTAATCGAAATGTTATTTTCATATCAGAAAGCATTTCACAATACAATCTTATATAACTCATATGAAATGAATTCCTATTTTATTATTACATACATATTCCTATTTTCCTATTACACCGAGAAACACTGCAAAACATTAATAACCAGTTTTTCGTCTAAAAAACATTTTAAAAGAGAAAAAGGTTGAAGAACATTAGAATAACAACCTAATTGGTATAAATTATTGATCACTGAAACCTACTACAGAAAATACGCGTTTAAATACCAACAGATAAGCGATTGGGAAATGTACCCTCTTCAAATTAAAGATATTTAATCAATATCTATTGTAGGGTTGGCACAGAGATTCTCCTTTAAATTGTTTAACATATAGATTTATCTTGAATTTCCTTTCCATTCAAACTCTAATTTAACTCCTTTTGCTCGAAAACTTACTTTAGTCCTTTTAATAATAAGCAGTAAATGATATATACAATATATTAATATCACTATGAGGATGAGCAAATATATAACCTACAAACACTAAAACTAGGAGCATAATATTAGCATTAGCAGCACTAGCTTTTCTGGACATCTCGTTTGCGATTCTTCACAACCTTTCCCAAAAAATATTCGCCGGCCTGGAATGAAGTCAAAGTGAAGCACATTTTCACAACCCATGTCGATCACAAATTCCTCCAAACAACGACAAAACGTAATATGATATCCTGGTGAATTACAAAATCAAAGAAAAATTACTTTGTAAGATGATCGAACGAGAGGACCACTTGCCGTATACAAAAATCCCAATTTATCTCCTACTTCTCGCCATTCCTCAAATTTTTCTGGAGTAATCCACTCTTTCACCAATAAATGTCTTTTAGTAGGTTGCATATATTGACCAAATGTAAGTGCATCCACACCTTTAAGTCAAAAATTTTCATCACTAGTTTTTTTTTTAAATAAGATATGGAAACCAAGTTTATAGACTTATTTGTTTCACTTATGCATGGTCTGCTCTTTTTGCCAAATAGTTATTAATACCTTATTTTCTGTTATAGATACGAAAATTTTGTTGTCTCGGGAAATATAAAAAGTTGCTATGCTTAAAACATATCCTCCTTTATAATGAATGCTGGGCTTTTGCAGAATCGTAATACCTCGAATTATACAACGCCATTAGAATAATTGATATCGAGTGAAATGCAAATTCAGGGTTCAATGTGGTATCTACTTTTCTGTTCCTATCCAAAACATCAATAACCTAAATCTTAATTTAAATTTCAATTCGTGGAGAAAAAAAAACAGTCCTTACCAATTTTACGTAAATCATGTAATGTTGTCAAAACTTCCTCGTCTGTTTCGCCCAAACCAAGCATTAACGAAGTTTTTGTGACAATATCTATACGAAACTGAAAATTTCACACAAACATGGAAGAAAGGAAAAACCATACTTAATAAAAACAGTCGAAAATATTATGGGTTCTAAAAACTTACTTTCTTCGCATGTTCTAGAACTTTCAATGATTGGTCATAGGTAGCTCTCGGATCTCGTACCCATGGTGTCAATCTTCTAACAGTTTCCATATTATGAGCATAAACATCTAATCCAGAAGAAGCAACCGTTTCGACAGAGCTCAATGAACCGCGAAAATCAGGAACGAGACATTCCACCAATATTTCCGGACATTCTTGTTTAAGGTGTTGCACTGTTGTTGCTATATGGGATGCACCACCATCTTCGATATCGTCTCTGGAATTTAATTTTATTAGAAGTGATGTCGAAAATTCCGATGAAAAGTAATGCTGGGATTAAAATGATGGAATGATGAAAGCTTGAAAATAAGCATGACCAGGAATCACGAACCTGTCTACAGATGTCAACACAACATACTTAATTCCCCATTCAGCAACAGCTTTAGCTGTATTTATTGGCTCTTCGGGATTGAGCGGAGGTGGTTTACGTGAGGTTTTGACGGAGCAAAATCTAAAAAACCCACGGAAAGACTAAAATTCAGGTTACAAAGAAACGGTTACTTCAATTCACGTTTTAATTTTAATAACTTGAAAAAAAAGAGAATTTTGATACGCCCATAACATTTAACTGCAAATTTTAAATGCTGTTGTTCTGAGAGATCGTTAAAATCAGACTATTACTGTCAATACCAAACCAAAGGGTAATTACATGAAATGATTGAACAACTCATGATATGCGTCGATTTCAAATGCACATTTATCTCTGTCGTGCTATTCTGAATACAACAACATGCCGCATAGAAAAAAAATAACTAACTTGCATCCTCTAGTGCATGTGTCACCCATCAGCATAATGGTCGCTGTCGATGGTGCATTCTTCGAGCCACTCCAACATTCTTCAATATTAGGACAACGAGCTTCCTCGCAAACCTATAAATTTTTGAAATTTAAGTTAGGATCATCCTCTTACCATGAGAATTACGGCTTTGGATATATTCGGAAGTAAACTGATCATAACAAAAAAAGAATCTTGGAACAAATCCCAAAATAAAAATCGTTCAAGTAGTTTGTCAAATCAAACCATTAATAAAGAGAAAGCATGCTCATTAGCTGAAGACAAGTTGTATTCAGTGAATGTTTGGTGATTCAATTAAAAATTTAATGATTGTAACTTTATAAGAGGATGATGTATGGTAAATTGAACAAAATGATAAATGATAAATTGAATTCAGAAAATTTAAAAAAACGAATATAAAACTGTAGAATATTTGATTACATACCGTTGCAAGTTTTAATTTTTTTACTTGTTTCTTCAACTGCGTGAAATTTGCATTATCCACAGAAGGTATGCTACGTTTTAGCCATGGTGGTAAACGTAATCTTTTAGCATTGGCTTCCAATTTCATCTGCATTCCATATCTTTCCATAGCATCATTCGAATTTCCTGGAAAAAAATAATGATAGCAAAAAAAAGAAAAAAAAACAACAACAAACATTCCTTGATATAAAAGATAATAAAAATAATACATTTAATTTACTCACTCAGAAACTGTATCCTTTCAAATATCCGACATATTGTTGGAATAACCAGTAAGAAAAAATGAAAAATAATCATTCACAGGTAAAGAGAATTAAAAGTAAATAATTTTTGGCGAGTAGAAAAAAAAACTTTTATACAATAAGTAAGCAATTAAGTAAATGAGTAAAAAAAAAACAAATGAATCCAACATTTCAAGATATAAGAGACGTTTGATATTACAAAAAAGTGAAGGATAAAAATAAATTCAGAAAAACAATAACCTGTTTCAATAAAATCCTGTAATGATGGACCTTCCGGAAGTGTTACACGTTTAGAGGAAAAACTGGCCCGTGATATTCTTGTCGTAAACGAGATCATATTTCTGCAATAATAGAACATTATTTAAATAATGATTAAGTAAATATTTCTAGAACAAATATAAATATTGTAAATAAGTAGCGAACATTAGAGTGAAATGAAATTACTTCAATATGATTTTAAGTTATTCAACATTTCATCAAGTTTTTCAAACTTTTCCCGAATTAATTTGCAACTCAACTGAAATATCTAATATTATATTCTCACTTTGATTATCTAAATCTCTTCCAGTTATTTCACTTTTGATTTGCAAAAGATTAAAGTATTATAATTACATTTTCAGTCTAGTTATCTCAATTTCCTCTAATTATTCTATTTTTAGCAGCACAAGACTAAAATATCTATAACTACATTTTCAGTCTAATTATTTCCCCTAATTATTTCACTTTCAGTTGCACAAGACTACAACACTTATAACTACACTTTCAGCTTAATTATCTAAATTTCCACTAATTATTTCACCTTAAAAGATACTTTAAGTCCTAAATTTACACTTACAATAATGCCACAAACTATTATGCATTCAAAAAAAAAAAACAACTTTCTTTTCGAAAATAAAACTTACTTTTTAAATATCTCAAGTTATTTTAATTCAATAATTAAGTTATGATTTACTTTCAATTCCAATTACTTCATGAATACTTCGCAAAAATTAGCGCATCACTTAAGAAATGTAACAAATTTCTATTATGTATAAATGCCATTTGGCAATTTGAATATGAACCCGTTCTGGAGGAACATTTGCTGTACTTTTTTCTTTTTTTGTTTTTGCTAATACTTTAGGGACTGTTAAATTGATTGATTCACTCTCAATCACTGTTAACAATTGTACTCCGTATTATTTTATTATTTTCTCAAACTCTGCAATAGTAACAATTCAAATTCACAATAATCTTTGCTCTTTCTCTAACAAACATCATACATGAAAATCTCTCATCAATCTTTATTCTCTCATAGCTATTGATTCTTTCGAGTTTTGATAAAGTTTTAAAAATTCTTATCTATTTTTATCCTATCCATTTTTGTCATACTATTTCTTGTACTTTCAATTCTTATTGTTTAATATTTCTCCAATTTTTTTTTTCCTTCAACTCGGCTTACTTTGTGTTACACTACAAATGACAATAATTATCACTCACAAAAACAAGTGCTTATCACTTATCACTTACAAAAATGAGTTTTTATCACTTACCACTCACATTGTTATCTTTTCGACGCAATTTTTTCTGCTCGATTATTTTGATTTAAATGAGCATCCGTATATTCAGTGCTAGCGAAATAATTACCACAAAGTTACTAATTAATTAAGTGAGTTTTTAATTATTGGCTAGATGTAAAGAATTTACCAACTAATCATGTAAGTTTTCAATTATTGATTGGTTGTTAAGAAGTGATTAATTGGTCAGATAAGTTTGTAATTATCGAACGAGTATCAAGATCAGATAATTAAGTTTATAATTACTGGGTTTTAGGTAATGTTAGTCCTAGTAGTAGTGATTAATTACGTTATCGAGAAATGAATTATTGCTGAATAATTAGTAAACATTTCAATATGATATTACTGATAATTTCCGTGAAGTTTTTTTTTTTTGTCCGTGGAAGTATAACACGCAAACTGCGTAATGCTACGTGAGTAACAGAAGTATGCTAATATGTTATATGACCGGATTAAACGATAGCATTACGATCGGACAATATTATTTCCAAGTTATCCTTTTTTTCTTTCTCTCCCTCCCTCTCTCTCTCTCTCTCTCTCTCTCTCTCTCTCT